TTTAAATAATTTTATATTAATTTATTAATAAAAATATGTGTTAAAAAAAATTCCAGTTTTTTTTGCACCACACTGTAACTGTAACAAATTGTATATTATAATATAATTGTAACAAATTTAATAATTATGGCAAATCATATAATTGCAGTACAATTGTGACAAATTTAACCATTTGCCTTGTACATGTTTATGAGTTCAGTTGAGATGAGCAGCAATATAGGAGAGTTGGAGAAGAGAAATGCATAATGGTCAACAAACAATATATTGGAAATCCTTTTTAAGAACTTCTTGAATAGTATGAACTAATATATTTAAGTTGGTGTAGATTTCATTAAGTCTGACAATCACTTCAATGACAGTAACCATATTATTGACTTGTATTTTAATAATTGTATCATAATTTAATTTTATATTATATAATTGTATTATAATTATAGTTTGCAACACATTAATTGTAGCATCATAAAATTTTTAAATAATTGAATCAATTATAAAATAATTTTAATTATATATATAACAATACCTTAATACATTAGCTTTAATTTAATATCTCTGGAATTGGATCAATAATAACAAGTAAATATAAAAATAATTTAGTGATATATAGAATAATTCATAAATAATAATTTTTATAATATAAAAAAATTATAAATTATATATGTAATATAAATTATTTGCTATTGACTCAATTTTCAAAATCCTCAAAAATAATTGTATCATGTCTCAATTATTGTTTTAATAATGACTCAATTAATTGTATCAAGAATCTACAAATTTTAACAATATATAATATAAATAAAATAATATAATATGCTAAGCAAGGTTCAACTAATTGATCAAAAAAAATAATAAATAAATTAATATAAGTTTTTAAATATTTGAACAATTTTAGAAAATAATAATAATACAAGTTTAAAAAATTTTCTTTAATATTCTATTTAAATATTATTTTTAATGTTTTATATTCAATTTTTTCTTAATTTTCTGATTTGAAATAAAATTATAAACAAAAAATACAATAGCAATATTAATAATACCTTGGTATATTAATCCTTGACTTAACATCTCTAGATTGAATTAATAACAAATTAACATAAAAATAAAAATCAATATTAGGGTTCCAAACCAATATTAAAATATTATTACCTTATAATAAATTCAGTACCAACTTGATACTGTTAGAAACCTTAATCAATATAATCTAGCATATATCTAGAATAGCTTATAAATAGTAAATTCCTGTAATACATAAATATACATATAATAAAAGCTGCTAGACAACCTTGTTAATTAACCAAATATATATATAAACTCAACTTACCTAACCCCTGTAATACATATCTTTACCCTGTCCGATCGTCGTACCAGGCCCAAAACACCGTACATCACATCGCCACAGGACCCCTAACAATATACTGTATAATACATGATTTATAAAGTCTAAAAACACAAATATACTGTATATTTGGAACAGTTTTAAATTCACATAATATTTGTAGGATGAAACATCATTTGTTTTTAAATTTAGCATACAAATTATTGGATTCGTTGGTTAAAGTTTTGTGTAAAATAGGTTTCCAGAATCCAATTTTACAATTATTCTGTTTTTTAACATCTTCGGAATGTAAAAGTTTGGCAATCTTGGTTTTTCTTGAATTTTGGGACAAATATTTTGCTTTTCTGACAACTTGCTCCTATTTTCATTGAGTTTTTGTAAGTATTATTACAATCACGGAATGTAGAACTTAAAAATTACCTACCTTAAAATAATATAAAACTTCCAATGTCTGTCTTAAAACATCAATACTGCAACTTTGAGTTGGAAACTCAAAGGTTGGTCCATCAAATCAAAAATAAAGTCATTCGTCCAGTAAGTCAACTCCAATTAGTTGTCCTTCCAGGGCTAAAGCACATAATTATTAGAGATATGGAAGCATTGGACTATAAGAAACGTATATATCGTATGATATTCAAGTAATATCGTTCTCGAGATATCCGTTAAGTATGCACTTGTTCTAAGAGATTTACTTCGATCCTTTAGAATTTTTAATATTGTAGCCTCTCGGGCGCATTCAGAATGACTCAACTCTTTTGTACCATCCTCGGTTCTTATACAAAGGTCGACTTTTTCTTTTTGGATTATTTGTAACTTTTGAAACGGTCTCTCCCCTAAAGAATTTATAAATAAATCATTAGTCTGCAATTGACAATTACTTCAAAGTTAATAAAATGCTTACCACGTAAGCCTTACAAGACTTGACAATCGGAAAATATTATTTCCAATATAGGATCCACCATTTTTATCACATTGCATTTCTGTGTGTTTCTGTGGTTGACCACTCTTTCTTACAAACAAATATGGATTTTCTAAGAACAAATCCAAGCTGATAGATAAAGTTTAAACTTGATCAATAAAATAGCGAAACAAAAAAAACAAAGTAATTTAAAAAAAGCAATACATACATAGAAATACACTATTAAAATTTGTCGAAATTTAATATTGGCGAGTCGTTCGATCATTTTTACTAATAATAATTTTCTTGTCCCCAAATAATCATGCGAAGTACAAAACTGAACAAAGTGAAAAGTATAAAGAATTAGTATCACTCATAATATGATGGTATAGCCCCTATACGTTTTCAACTTTTGTGATAAATTCTAATAGTTCACCAGAAAACTCTTCAGCTGTTAAATTAATTTTTGATAGCGCTTTGGTCTTTAATGGAATCCAATCATCATTAAACCAAGAATGCATGCCACGTTTAAATTCTGACGAAAGATCTATGATAGATGACTGTCCCAGCCTATATATACGTTTATAAAGGGATTAGTAAATTCATAAAAAAGTTCATTAATAATAATATAGATACTATGTTTACCATATAATGCTCATTATTTTTGAATCTACTTTTTTGGATTGTTTCATTTCTTCAATTGCCCTTTTTGTCATATTTATAAGCTGACCTCTTACACTTTCATTATTTTTTAGTTTCCAATTATAATTTTTTTATCTGGTTTTGAACCAACAAAAGAAGAAATGATATGTCTGCAAATTTGAATGTATCTTCTTCATCAGAACTATCATCTAAGGAATTTTCTTCGTCTTCGTCCTGATATCCCGGAATTTAATTCGTCCTGTAAAAATTTCAGATTAACATAGAAACAGTAATTTTTTAATCAGATCCATAATGTAATGTTTTTTATTGCTTACATTTGTCTGTTCGTTTAGATAATATAAATCTGGTTCATCAACTGATGAAATGTTTTTTGCATAATTTTTTATCTCCCGGTTTCTAAGATCATACTTGATTTAAGGTACAGATTCTTTTTTTTCTTCGTCATGGTTCTTATCATCCAAGATCTTAAATGTTAAGAAGGAAAAATAAATTTATTGCGCGTTATGACATGAAAATGGAAAAATACTACCATCTGATTTTCTTGAATTTGCGATGTTGGTGTAGTATCCTCGCATTTTTTGACGGCACATTTTTCATAATCATAGTCCTATAGTATTAAACACAAAATAATTAATTCTGTAGATTTCTTCTTATCTTGTTGTAAAAAAATGTTCATCTGTACATCTTCACGATTTCTTTTTTTAGACTTTTGCGACTCAGCATTAAATGTGCCACCATTAATCGTTCCAATTCCTAGAGAACTACCCTTAAATATTGGATTATGTAAGTATATTGAGGCACCAGCAGTTTCGTGATTGCCAGTCCTTTGCAAGCCGGCGATCGGGCCGAGTACCCTACCAAGAATTTGGAAATTAGTAGTGTCGTTGACTAACATCTTTACGATTCTTATCTAACTCTTCATCCACCAGATCGACTTAGAGACTTGAACGTCAGACAATCTTAGAGGTTGCCTACGCTCCGATGGGGGCCAGTACTAGGTCGTCTTAGAGGCTTGAACACAGATAATCTTAGAGGTCATCTGTGCCCTAGAACTAGCATCGTGGCTCGACTTAGAGACTTGAATGGCAGAGATCTTAGAGGTCCTTGCCACGCCACCATTTCTTTTTTTATTTTAACCAGTAAAATTCTTGAACCTGCCTGTTTATACTGATTGTACAACTGTAACGCTTTTTCATATCTTTCACCATCCTCATTTTTAATAATGGTCTCGAGAGAGGTGAGGTAATAACCAATCTTATCATGGAATGTTTTCACATCGTTACATTCATCCAGAAACTATAAATATTCCATTTTGAGGGCTTGCGGGCGAAATATTCATGCACCTGTTTTTCTGCCATAGACTAAAAGATATAAATTACAGTAATTAATTTTTACTGACGCGTTTCGCGTTCAATATTTTTATGAGCATAAACCATCATCCAATCAGAATCAATACTTATCAGCCAAGTATATGCGCTGGCCAATCAAAATATGTGCAGCAATTTATTATATATACCGAAATATACTGTAAAAAAAATTGTAAAAAAAAAACCCAAAGAATCAATCCTTATTAAAATATAAAAAATTTAAAATTGAAATTGATTCCTTTGATAATGAATGATATTTATTACTAAGAATATTTCTATAAGCTGAAATTTCTACTTTTGATAGTAGAAGCTAATGCTATTTTAGACAAATTTGAAAGATAATTTTTATCTTTTCAATATTTATCTAAATATAATTTATCCTTTTCTTCAAAATTTTTATTCAATTTACAATAATTTCCTATTTATATAAAATAATATTACTAGAATTTTTAAATTCAATAATTTTATTATATCTTTAAATATTATATCTTGTTTAATTAACTTATATAAATTGAAAATTAAAATATCAAATAGCTTTAAATAATAATAATGTAAAATGACAATTAATATAATTTTTAAACTTATTTAATGTCAATTGAAAAACTTTGTAAAATATTTCTTGAAATAATAATGTAATGGTTTAAGTAAAGAAACATGTTGGTCATTAATAATTTATTATTATTAAAAGAAAACTTTATTAATGAAGAGTGGAACAGACAACTCTAAAGATAATTAAAGGAAAAATACAGTCTTTAAATATATGTTTTTCCAATATAAATAAATGGAATAAAAAACATAAAGAATAATATACATATAATCTTAGTGGTTCTCCTGGAAGATCATATGAATTAATAAAGAAAAATAAAATAAAATAAGAAAATAAATGAATAATAATATTAATTAAATACATTAATAATATCCTATAATCTCTTGATATCAATTACTAATTGATAATACATGTTAATTAGTGAAATCATGTTGAATTAATAATCACTATAAGTTTCGGGTTTTGTGTCACTCCGGAGCTTCGGGATCGGCGGATATCATGTGACTTCGGATATGTGTTTAAGTCTAATTATTAGTATTCTTCGGCTGGCTGTCTAAATCCTTGATTATTAAGAAATTAGTGTTGACAATGTCTTTTTAGCCATTAATAAAAAATATTTCTCTTATTAAAATACCTATATTCCTTTAAAATCGTTTGAGAGGTTTTCATCTGACTTTTTGAAGAAAATTGGGATTTTTGCCGGATGTCTTAGATTTGTTATAGTTATATTTCCAAATTGTTCCTAAACTTTCCTTGTAAAAAAGTATAAAATGTTAGCATTTATTCTTTAAAACAAAAGGAAGGCAGATAGTGGTAACTAAAGAAAATTAATAAAGAGAAATTACTTACCTTGGTCAAATCAAATATCTTACCAATATCATTCTCCATTATAATGTTTAAGTTATAATATTTTTTGTACATGATAAATATGAGTTATAAGAAATAATAGGAATATAAAAGAAGTTTTATATTCATCAGAACAGTTATCTGTAGGTGTTAGCCTAGAAACAAATGCTTTAGTGAAGATATAAGAATAAAGATAAATAAATAAAATAAAAAATATTCTAGAGCAACAATATCACAAAAAGCACAATGCTTAACAAAAACAAGAAAAGTAATACAAGAATTATTCTAGAATAGGAAACATTTCAAGAGTAAATGCTGGTAAAAATTGGACAAGAGTTATTAAAGATCTTGGACTAAAATCAAGTATAAAACTATAAATCAATTAATAATACAATTAGTACATTATATACATGTGGTGTAAATTATTTTGCTGTTGACTCAATTCCCAAAATCCTCAAAAATAATTGCGTCATGACTCAATTATTTATATGTTTTAATAGTGACTCAATTAATTGCGTCAAATAATTGCGTCAATTGCATCAAGGATCTACGAATTTCAGCAACATATATAGTACATTAGTAGCAAAAAATAAACTTTTATTTTGTTAAATTTGCTTATCTATATATTGTTAGCCCTATAAAAATCATAGGCTATAGTCATGTATTCTGGAAATATGGAGTAGCATTAATAATTAGTATAGAAAATGTAGTTATAGGAGCTTACATAACTTACTCATAGTTTGTTTTAGCTCTGATAATCCATTTTCTCTTAATTGTTTTTCTAGTAATAACAATAATATAAATAGCAACATAATTGTAAAGCAAACAAGAGATAGTGAGATAGAAAAATAGATAAAAGAATAGAAAGCAAATAGTAAAAGCAATAGAGCAATTAATAAACATAGTAATTAGTAAAACTGAAGTTCCAAATAAGGAATATTGTAATTAACAACTTACCTTTTCAAGTATATACCATCTAGAGAAGGATAATCACTACTATAGGACATAGTCCAGGATTATAAAGAGAAGAGCTGGTGTCAGGAAAGAAGAGAGAAGCTTGTTAATAACGAAAGTTCCAGCTAAATCAATCTTATATACCTTAATATACCTTTAATAATTCTATCTTAGGACTGGTAAAGCGACTAACTCACTATTTTTTGGCCCAACAATATATATAAAAGAATAAGAAAGAAAAAAAATAGATAATCCAAAAAAATTTTATAATTATAGAATTAGTCAAAACAAATTTGTATTTTGCTTATATAAGAAAAAAAATTAGTTTTAAAAAAAATTAGCAATCATACATGATATTATTACATATATGCATATAGCATAATATGCATAATATATGAAAAAATCCAAAATATATTAATTTACTTATCTTTATCCATAATTATTTTCTTTTTTTGAATGTTAAGAAAGATATTTCTTGTAATATTTATTAATAGAATAATGAAGTATTATATGATTAAAATTAAGATACTAAGATACATTATTATATATGTCAGCCTATCATTGTTCCAAGTATATTTCTAGTAAAAAATCTTGAAACAAGAAAAAAAAAAGTAACGACTTAGTTTTGAGAGACTAATGCCTTTTTAATAATTTATTTTAACTTGTAAGGACATGAATAATTTTGAGAAAATAATTGAAAAATGATGTTAATTAGTTTATTATTTTGATTTGTAGTATTGGTTGTTGGATTAGTTGTTATTGTTTATTGATATTATTGATATTGATATTTTTTATTTTTCTGTATAATATGAGGTTTGTTGTTATTATTATTGTTTTTTTATATTTGATGTTTTGTGATATGTCTAGAAATTTTTTTTCTACAATTATTTTTTAATTCCTGAATATTTATATTTGTTTATAATGTAATTCAAATATTTTGTTTTGGATTTCATTAATGTTTTATAAATTAGTTTATATTAAATTGTGATTTTTAAAGAGTATGTTTAGTTAAAGGATACCTGTTGCAAAGTTAATATTGTGAATATTAGTATTTATTAATTTTTATGTTTGGTTTTTATCAATGTTTTTGTTGTTTTTAAATTTTTTTCCAGTAGTATTTGTATTATTGGTTATTTTTTTTTAATGTTGTTAGACTTTACTTTCTTTGCAAGTTCAAAGATGATATGTTGTTTTTGGATCAGTGTTGCATTATAGGCATAAGTCATTAATATATATATTTGAAAATATTATATAAAGATATGCTTTTGTAGAAAGAGTATTAAAAAAGATTTTGAAGCAGAAGTTATATGATTTGAATTGATATTGTGTAATTGAAATGAATGTATTTTTAAGAAATATTAAAGTTTGTACAAGAAGTAATAAATTAGGTTTGAAGGTTGTTTTTGCTCTTTTTAAGTAAATTATTTTATTAGTCAATATGTTTTATTAATTTGTTTGAGTTAGTTTCCAGTTGGAAGTAAGGGTTTTTATATATGTTTGTTAATATATATTAAATAGAAAAAGTGTCAATAATATTTATTTGGAGTATGATAATATTTGTGGATTGTGTTTTAAGTATTTTTGTAATAGGTTTATAGAATAATAAAGGAATTTGAAGAGTTTGTATTATATTATGAATAATTGTAATTGTTGAAAAATAAGAAAGTTTGCATTTTTTTTTGTAATTAGATGTGATAATAAAAAGGTTTTGTTATTGTTTTTGAGGTGTTTAGAGAAAATTATATATTTTGTTTATTAGTAAGTAATATTGTTATAATTGTATAGAATAGAGCTGGAAATAGTTGAAAGCTAAATTGTATAGTAAATAATTGGTGATGTTATATATAGTTTTAAGTGATTATAATAGTATTGTATTAAGTTTGAATGTTAATAGAGCTTCAAGTGGAGAGTCATAAAAACTGGAAATGTTTTCAATGATTTTTTGAAATGTGACAAAAAAGTATTTGTTTTTGAGTAATTTGAGAAGACTTAAAAAAATAGTCATTTGTGAATTGTTTGTGATTGTATTGATTTGTAATAAATTGTGAAAATCATTTTTTGTTATTTTTGTTTTGAGTATATTGTTTTTGACTAGTTTAATAAAAAGATTAAGTAAGTTGTATAGAACAAGTAGTTTGAATTTGTAAGCATTAGAGCAAATGTTGAAAGAATATCTATTTCATTTTGAGAGTATTAAGGATTTATTGTAATCTTGATTATTATATGTCCTGTGTTTGATAAGTAAATTATTTTTGTTTATTTTTTGTTTCTTGCTAATAATTATATTGTTGTTAATAAGAGTTGTTATATATTTTCTTTTTTGGTTTGGTTGAACAGGAATTGTTCCTTTTTGATTAAATTGTTGTTATAAAATAATCTTATATCAAAGAAGAGTTTTTTCTTGAATATTGTATTACAGCCTGGCTGATATATATTGCCAACTTGTGATTTTATTTTCTATGAAGTTGAGAGAGTTGTTTAATATAGAATAAGTTTTTGTTGGTGAGTTGTTTGACAAATGTTTTCCAGGTTTTGTGTTGAAAAGGATAATAGTGTATAGGTATTGTTCCTTTGGGAAGTTTGTATAAATAGTTGAATTCAGAGCAGAATGTTATTTTATAGTGATGAACTAAAGAGATGGTAT